GAAAACCTGACTATGTATATATATAATGTGTGTATATATATATATACACACATATATACGCACACAGAGATTTGCAATTAAAACATTAAAACTGAAAAATAAATGAATCAATGTTTCATTATTCAATTTTGAATTATTCCATTAACTTGTATTACAATAGTTCGTGATATAAAACTATTTCTTAAATTTACCCAGTAACACTTTGTGTGTTACTTTATATAGAACTGTGACATCATTCTGTGGTCATGAAAGATATGTACTAAATTCACTTTTAAGATTGTACCATCATACTTACATGATTTATAAAATCTTTTCTATTTTTTCAAATCGAAAACTATATATTTATATGAAAAAGACATAAACGCTAAGTTAATATTTTCAAAAATAGTATATCATATAGTAGTAACAGATTTTATATATTTAAAACAAGAATATTAATAACTGCTACACATAATTTCAAAAATATTATTTTGAAGAACAAAAATGACTGTATATTATAAAAATTTACCATATTTACTGTATTTTAATATACAATAATATATATCATGATACATACATTTCGCATGATCCCCAACACCATTCTCCCTCTTCTTCTAGAAATAGCCATGGAACATTAAAAGACCTTGGTGCCTACTAGATTTATGAAAATGAAACTCTGAACCTTACCAAAAATGGTATCAGTTGATTAGCATGATGTATAAATTAAATTTCTATTCATAAAATTCCATAAATGCATAGTATAACTTGTAGTTGTTTAAACAGAATTACAATATATTTGTTTATTAAAATTAATAATCAAATTTTGTACAGTAATGCATAAGTATGTTAATATAAATAAACAAACATACATATGCATATAATAAAATATATTCTAATATTATGTTTTTATAAGTTCGGAACATTTAAACTATAGAGGCAATTGTAAAATTCTCTTCTTATATATGAAGAAAATATAAAATTAAATATAAAAGATTTTTTAATTATTTGTATAATATTTTGTCTAGGTTTCAAGACTTGTCATTTTACATGAAGAAGCTGAAGATGGAAATGCAATGCCAGATTTGGGAAAGCCTGTACAGGCAGTTAGTATGGCGGTGACTAATTTGATAAAAGTAAGTTTTAAATCTATTTAGAAAATTTTGTTAAAGTAGTTTTGTTTCATTTTATTAATAATAAAATTGTAAATAAGATATCTTAAATATTCAATACAATACTGATTATATAATATAACAAAATTACAGGTTGGCAAAGAAACAATAAATTCTTCAGATGATGCTTTGCTAAAGCAAGATATGCCTGCAGCATTGCAGCGTGTTGAGGGTGCTTCCCGTCTTTTAGAGGAAGCATCCGCAATGTTAAAACAAGATCCTTATTCTGGACCTGCTAGGTAAATAATAAATATAGAAACATTTTGCAGAATATCTCTATAATGCATTCAAAACTATATCTTACATAAATGTATATGTATATATGTTTCTTTTATAGAAAGAAATTGATAGAAGGTTCTCGTGGTATCTTGCAAGGAACTAGTTCCTTATTATTATGTTTTGATGAAAGTGAAGTACGAAAAATAATAAGAGAATGCAAACGGGTTTTGGATTATTTAGCTGTTACTGAAGTCATTGAAACAATGGAAGATTTGGTTCATTTCCTTAAAAATTTAAGTCCGTGCTTGAGTAAAGTATCGAGAGAAGTAAGCGCTCGTGAAAAAGAATTAACTCATCAAGTTCATAGAGAAATTCTCGTACGATGTTTAGAGCAGGTAATTATTTGCCATATTATTAAGAGAAATTAATAAATATGATGATATTATTTTATTTTAAATATTATATATCTACAGGTGAAAACTTTAGCACCAATCCTCATCTGTTCTATGAAAATTTTTATTCACATCATTTCCCAAGGTGGAAAAGGAGCTGAAGAAGCAGCAGAAAATCGTAATTACTTAAGTGGACGAATGTCTGATGAACTTAATGAAATAATCAGAGTTTTACAATTGACAACATATGACGAAGAAGAATGGGATGCTGATCAATTGACAGTATGATTTATTGATTATATTATTATTCACTAATTATAGAATAACTAAAGTTACAATAAAATTTTTATATTAGGTCTTGAAAAAGGCACAAAGTGCTATAGAATCTAGAATACGTGCTGCATATGATTGGTTGGATGATGGGCTCGCTTTGCGTGGAGGAGTAGGAGAAAAAAGTCTTAGACAAATAGTGGAACAAGCATCAAGGTTAGCTGAACGATATCTTTCTCCTTCTCAAGCAGAACCACTATCAAAATTAGCTTCACAAATAGTTACTATGACAGAAGCTTTATGCGAACTGCGTCAAAATGAAAAAGGTTTGATTATACATTTACTACATACATTTACTAATGCATGATGCACTATTATAATGATTTTAATTATTTCAGGAACTACACCTCAAGCAGAAGCTTTGGCACGTGGTATTAAGGAAAAATTAAATGAATTACGCAGTTGCGTGGCATCTGCTTTGGTAGCTGCTGACAAATCAGGAACAGCTCAAACTGCACATACTGTCGCAGGTCGTTTGGAACAAGCTAATAAATGGCTCCTAAATCCACAACAAGATGATAAAGGACTTGGTCAAAAAGCTATAGCTTTGATAATACATGAAGGCAAAAAGGTATGTCAATTGTATAGAATCATCAGCATGCTTAGATCGTGATTACATTCAATAAAATTATTCGTAATGAACATGCTTTTTTCCGTTGCTGTCCTTAATAATAAAATATCTTACATCCAATAATATTTTTTTTAAGATAAAGTACTAAAAACATTTATTTTTTAATATTTCTTTTTGTAATGTATGAATTATAATATAATTTTTTATATTATGTATGATACAAATTGAGTAATATCAATCCCTCTAATTGCTTTATTTTTTACGTATATAAGATTTAATATTTTGCTTGAATGCTTCGAATGGGAAGAACCAACAGCATGTAGCGAATGTAAGTCATAAATAAATTTATATTACAGTGTCACACAAAATGTATTAGATCTTAAATAGATATATTTATATGATGTCTCTGATATCTTTAAAAATTACAATATTTTCAAATCTTTTTCAATCAATTTAATTGTAAAATTTAGGTTGCTGAAGGTTTACCTGGC